TGTTCGTGCACGGGGCTGTGCACACGTACCCCCCCCCCATGTGCATCTGCGGGCACTCCTCTCTTCTAACTGGAAAGGGTTAGAGGGTGAGAATCGGTCCTGCCTCCCCCCTCCCCCCCCGGCCCCTCTGCAGGTCTCGATTCTGAAACTCCCGTGTTTTTATTCCCAGCACCTTCGGGGAGCTGAAGACAGTCCGCTTGCCAAAGAAGATGACGGGGATGGGCTCGCACAGAGGGTTCGGCTTCGTCGACTTCCTCACCAAGCAGGATGCGAAGGTGAGACCAGGGCCCCTCCCTGCCGGCCTCTCCGCTCTGGGTCCTTTGTGGGAGAAGCAGCAAGTCCTCTTCACAGACGTGGGCGCGGCCCCCGCTCCCCGTTCGGATTTTCTCTCCCCTCCTCTCCCCGGCCCTGCTAATTTGCACAATGTCCTTGCAAGAAAGGACCGTGGGCCTCGTGTTTGGGGGAAGGGGCAGTTCTGTGTCCCGGGCCGCTCCAGGTCAGACAGAGAGCGTGGGAGATGCTGTGCAGAGTGTGGAGGGGAACCAGGGGACAGCGCTCGGAGAGGAGGCCGCCAGGCACCCCAGTGGGAACCCGCGGGGACGGCTCTTTGCCCTCTTCTGCTGCTGGTCCTGGGGCTTCTGTTTTGTGCTGATTTCAGGTGTTCTCAGGCCAGGCAAGTGCTGCTGTGTGTAAGCACGTGTACGGAATTCCTTGGAGACAGAACCACCTTTTATTTTTGAAGCAAGGCAGCCTCTCCGGGTGTGGGCTTGGTGCAGTAGGTCCTGGGTCCTCGTCCTCCGCGGCAGCAGACAAGGGGCAGAGGCTGTGTGACCGGGGTTCTGGCTGCGTCCGTGGTTGCTGCTCTCACAGTCCCAGGTCAGGATCCTGGGGGGAGGGGGCCGTGGCGCTGTCTTCGTGGGCTCCCTCCGCGAGCCTGTGCCACGGGCAGCCTTCCCCCGTCCTGGCCTGTCTTCCCTTGAGGGTGCAGTAAAGCGAGGGGCGCGTGTCACTGATGTCTGGGATCCCCTCCGCCTCTGAGGACGCGTCTTCAGAAAAGCAGAGGATTCGTTGGAATCACAGTCTTGGCCACAGCAGCAAATTGGCGTTGCCAGACGCCCTGTGGGTGGAGCTGAAGGTGTCATCTCAGGGACACAGCTGCGGCCTTTGTGGGCCCTGGGAACACGCACAGGCAGAGAGGGTGCCCCAGGACTTCAGTAGGCCTGCCAGCCACCTTTGTCTCAGCGTCTTGAACTCAAGTGCATGCTTTGTTGACACGTGGCCATGTTTGTCCAGACACCTGCGCCTCTTTCTTCTCGGCTGGCAGTCTTCCCCTCGCCTCCTGTCACGACAGGAGGGACCGCAACCCCTGCGTGCAGCCGGCCCACGGCCTTGACGCTCATCAGCAAGGCAGGCACCTGCGGGGTCCCCCGCCCCCCGCCACTGGCTCAGAGAGAAGCCAGGGAACAGCCGTCCAGAGCACTGCACTTACTGCTGGCTGCTTGGCTTCCCCAGCCCTGCCCTGTGCCTCAGTCTCCTAATCTGTAAAATGGGAATGATGACAGGTCCCACGCCCACAGGGTGAAGACACATGGTGACACAGGTCCCGGCACACGGTGCTCGAGATGAGTGAGCCGCTTCCTCCTCGTTCCCACCGGCCCAGGTCCCTTCAGAGCCACCAGCCCTCCATCTGTGGACAGGGAAGAGAGGGGTGCAGGCAGCGCTTTCTCCACTGCGTCCGTCTAGCCCTGAGCTTCTGTGCGTGTGTAGGACCATTGTCATCTGTTTTATGTCAGGGTTCCTGTGTGAGACTGCCATTAGGGGAGAAATGAAGGGGGATTCACTCCCTGCCCCAAGAAACATCTCTTATTAAGGGCCAGTGCAAGGGCTGACTGTTAGAGCACAGACTCTGCTGCCAGAATCCTAGCACTTACCTGCTATGTGACCTTGGGCAGGTGACTTAACTTTCTACGTGCCTCAGTTTCCCCCCTTATAAAGCAGTAATGGAATTTCCCTCACCGAATCGTTGTGAGGCTGGGATGAGATGATAGCCTTAGGACGGGATCGGGCCTCCGTGAGCTCCGTCTGTTAGCTGTGACGAGGCGGATGGTGATGGTGGTGATCTAAGAAGAAGGGAAGGAGCAGAGAGAAAAGTTGTCCACGCCCCTCCAACAAGAAGCTTCTTGTACGCGGCAGCCTCCCTCCAGAGCTTGAAGTCAGAATTAACGGTGGCTCTCGGGACCCAGAGGGCTAGACCGGGCATGGACTGCCAGCCTTGAAATGCCATGCTCCCATCGCCAGGATGCAGTCAATATAGCTTTGTTCCCTGGGGTCATGGGAATGGGTCATGGGGGGGAGATGCTCAGGTAGCCGGGCAGTGCCAGTGCCCGCTTGGCTAGCGCCTGGCACCGGAGGCCAGGCTGCAAATGTTCTTTGCAGAGCCTAGCACAGCCTTCTGCTGACTTATGGAGGTGGCTCCTCCCCCTCTGTCCCTTCCATCCTGGGCTCCAGGAAGAGAAAGGGCAGCCGAGGACAGCGAGGGCTCAACCCACACCCCCTCCAGGACTGGCTCTCGTGGCCCCTCACCTCCAACAGGCGGCAGCCTGGCTCCGGAGCTGTCCCGGCCCCGCCATCCCCGCCTCTCACCGCACCAGGACGGGCCCTCTGTGCCGCTGCTGAGCGAGCCGGTCTCCCATGAAGTCTGAGCCCACCGGCAGTGCACCTCTCCCGCAAAGGTCCCTTTGCTCTTCTTGCTTCCTGGAGAAGCTGCCGGGGCTCTTCCTTCTCCCTGTCCGTCTGAAGAACTTTATCGTCCCCCGAGTGGAACATTTAGCGCTCTCCACTGAGCCACAGAGCCGCGCGCGCTGCATATTGGTGAACAGAATTCTGAATATTGTAAATATCTGGTTAGCTCGAGGGCAGGCGTGAGTTTGAAGAGGGAAGGCGACGCTGGGAGGAGACATTGAGTTAGAAACCCCCAGAGACCCTTTTTTCATTTCGAAAGAAGGAACTCGTGGGAATCCCAGGGCTGGTCGGGGAACCTCCAGGACCCCCAGTTTCTCAGGACAAGCGCCGCCCGCCACCCCACCGCCACCCCCGGCGGTTCTCCCTTTGAAGCGCTTCAGGGAAGAAGACGTGCTTTAGAAAATCCCTCCCGGGGCTTGACGGAACCCCGACCACTCGGCTCCCTCGCCGGCGGCTTCCCCCGTTTCCTGCCGTGGGGCGCCCTCCAGGAAGATAGTGGCCAGTAACTCTTGTGGCGCCAGCAGCGCTGGAACCTGGAGGTGTAAGCCTCCTGTGCCCCGGGGCGCCGGGCGGTCCTCAGAGGGGATAAGAGGAGACAGGGAGGAAAAGACGAGGGGAGCGGACACATATCAGGGGCAGGAGGCAGGGAGGGAGTAGAGGCCGATTGTAGAACCTTGGAAAGGTCTGGAAAGCAGTGGAGAAACTAGCAGTTTCCAGGCTGGGCCGTGAACCCAGGGATGTGACTCACAGCACAGTACTCTTTCCTGGGCACCAACCAGTCCACTTTGCCAGCTGGCTGAGGAGAGGATTAGGCACCCTGGTTGGTCCCTGGAGGCATCCGCTCAGCACCCCCATCTCTCTTTGGGCCCCAAGCATGGGTCATCTGCGTCCTCCCCTCCACCAGGGACCCTGAGTCTTCCGACCTTGCTCCATGACCCCGTGTTCCACCCCGCACATCCTCGGGAACTCCGTCATTCATCAGGCCCCTCTGGGTCAAGCACACACCCCAAACGGGGAAGAGAATCCTAGCGCAAGACTCCACGGAGAGCTCAGGGTAACCAGGCAACTGACGACAATAGCCAGAGGCGCCCGCGACTGGCCGAGCTGGCTTTGTGTGTGACATGTACACCGTACACGCATTGTCTCGTCCCAACCTGCAGCAGCCCCGGACTCAGCTGGAGATTTGCATAACTCCCTCCCCGGTTTCTCCGGGCGCTTGTTAAGCTCCGTGTGTGCAGGGTCCTGGGAACCAATGGGAAGCCGGGACCTGGCTCTGTTGCTGAGATGCTAAACCACGGGTGGGACCTGGCCGTCAGCCCCTGTCACAGGCTCCGTGAGCTGGCATGTTCGCCCAACCTACGGTGTTTCATCAGCCCCCGATGTCCCAGGCATGAATGTCAGTCCCTCTGAAAGGGCTGCTCTTGTTATTATCTAAACCTCCAAGTGTGATGAGCCCACATTTCTCAAAGAACCTTCTCCACGTGCTGGAGGGAAGCAGGGACAAAGGTCGATGAGGGCAGACAGGAAGTCCCAAATAAGGTGGTCTTCCCCGGTGGCCTGGGTCTGCGCTTGTGTGTAGGGTTGTTTGTAGTGTCTCAGGTGCCACGTGGTTCTCTGGGTCCTGATGATGCTTCCGGAAGGGCAGCCTCTTGGCATCAGTAAAAAACCATCAACTTCTAAAAGCCCGTCTTTGGCAGGGACGGCGCTGGGCATTTGTACGCTTCAGTGGTAGGAAGCCATTTGACAGATGGGTAAACTGAGGTTCGAAGGGATGGCGCCACTTGCCAGAGCTGGGAAACCCCGCGTCTCGATCTGATTCCAAAGTCCACGGATTAGCACTTCCTCCCTTCATTCACGTATTCACTTAAACTGAGTGCCAGCTGCGGCCAAACCGTGCGCCAGCCCCCTCCTCTCTACACCACACCCCTCACCTCTCACCCATCCCCAGCAACTCACCAATTAGACATTTTGGAGGAAGGCCAGGAGGTTGGCCCTTAAAACATCTCTTGGGAACAAGCCCAGGATAAAATCAGCTCCTCCGGGGCCCCCAGAGGAGGAGTGGGCATTCCTTTAGGGGCCTCCAGAGCTGCACACTGTCTCCTGCCAACTCTCCCAAGCCTTGGAGGCAGCAGCTTTCTACCTGGGCAGGTGACCTGGGATTCCCAACCAGCTGTGCCCGTGCCCATTGGCCAAGAGGCCACCAATAGTCATTGGGATTCCGTTTAGAAGCCACCACCTCCTCTGTCTTTACTTGGACTGGCTGGTCACAGAGGAAGAGGGGAAAGAAAGCAAAGAGCAGACTTGCAGCCCGGAAACCAGAGCATTCTTCCCCC